AGCTGAAATGAATACCATTTAGAACGTGGTTTGGCGTAAGTCAGTTCATTTAAATGTCGTTATGTGGGATCCTCGTAACTTTTTATTTTTATTTTGCAACTTTTTCCATTACTCAGCACTCCTTCCGTCAGTTTATTTTTCTTTACTTTTCAGCCATTTTGCTATCTTTACTTTTCAGCCTTTACTTTTCAGCCATTTCACTTTATCTTTACATTTCCACCATTTTATTAACTTCAATATCTTGTTAGCCTGCCTGAAGTTGAACTTAATCTTCATTATTCCTTTACGCTTTCTTGTAGTCTCATTCATTGATTTAGTTCCTAGTCCTGGATCTATTCATCTCTTAAGTCTGCTTCATTTACCTCATGAACTTGTTCAGTAAATCCCCTTTACAGGGGTGAGAACTTTCCCGCCACCATTATAATCTTATGCTGCCATCATATGTTTCTGTTCGGTACAAGATCTGGTACTCATGCTTTCTTTATGTGACACTATTACTAGTTAAAGGAGTCGAACCCTTTTTTCTTTGACTACGATTTTTTATTATTTAAAATTATCTTGAATTATCAACCATTGTGGCTTGTAATAATTTTATATCGCTCAAGAATCTGTAAATTTTATTTCAAAAAACTTGAAGAATCGATGCCCAAATTCATGCTAAAACGAGGTCCTTTGACCCTGTATATTGGGAGCCTCTTCACATGAATGGGACAGAGGGGTTATAGTTATTTTTAGCTGACAGCTGTATGTACAGTTACTTGGGTAGTATTTTTCTTTTTGAAGGTTTATTTTGATAAAATTTGCCACTAATATTCTGAATCTTCATCTCATGGAGAGTTTAAATAAGATGATAATGAGGCTGGTTTTAGGGATTCTTTCGCTATGATCTCTTGACTGACGTGAATCGTCTTATGATTGGATTTCAGAATATTGCACTTGAATAGTGCCTTTAGATTCTAAATTTAATTGGTTTTGATTTTACTAAAATGAGTATAGGATAGAGATTGCTTGGAGCCCCCCTCCCCCTCCACCCCGAGTACGGAACTGAAGTATTGCAAAATTGGACTCAAAACACCAAAATAGGTGAAAAAAGACTTGAGAACATTTTTATATATAGCGTATGAATTTCATGCGCTATACCTTAATGACAAGTTTCTCCGTTAAGGTATAGCGCATGTAATTCATGCGCTATGGTTTGAAAAGGTGGTCAAAGACTTAGTATAGCGCAATACCTGAATGTGAAAAGACAGTCAGGTATAATGCATGCGCTATACCCATTTAATTAAACCAGTCCTCTTCTTCCCCGATGGAACTTC